GGATAATGGCAGCAAAGAGCTCGCCCAGCCCTTAAGCGCTGAGTGTAGTTATTATGGTAATACATAGTTACTTGGCTAAAGACTTGATTGCTGCCATTGTAACACAAACACATACACAGAGAAAACCCCTAAAAGGAATTTCCTCTTTATAGGTCAGTGGTGCTGCTGGGAACCTGCTTCTCACTGCAGATCTTTATTGGTTAATCAGCCACAAGAAGGGAAAAAAAAATAAAAGTGTGGTGTGAGAGGCCAGGGTCTCCTGCCTGCAGAGACCGTGTTCTTTGGCTGCAGCGTGTGTTTTGGGCTGAGATAACGGGGTTGAGTCACTTGACAGTGTGGTCGTCTCTTGAGGATGCTGCAGAGGACCTGTGTGTGTGTGTGTGTGTCTCCCGTCGCTTGTCCGCTGGTGCGGAGGTCTTGAAAAAGGGCTGTTCTCGGTGGTTCGTGGGCTGGGATGCTGCCTGTGCTGGTGTACAGCACGGCGCTCGCCGCGCTGTCCCTGTTGGTGATACAGGGCCTAGATAGGAACAGGGGATGTAAGGGTTAATATGGGAATAGCAAGAAGGGGATGACGAGGGAGATAGTCGAGATAAGAGTTTGCCTAGCTTGTACTAGGTGTTTGTGTTGCTCGACCACTATCTCCTGTTTAAGTAAAAAAGCCTCCTCCACCCCTGAGTAAGTGAAGATGTTTGTGTTGATGGACCACTATCTCCTGTTTAAGTAAAAAGCCTCCTCCACCCCGGAGTAAGCAAAGATTACCCCACAACGGCACAAACCTGCTCTGCGGGTCCAGGGGGTGACAGAGACTGCGCAGGAATTCGGGGTGAAAAGTTCAGCACTGAGGAAGAGGAGATACTTCCTCCCACGACCACCACCCAGTCCTTCACGACCCCTGCCCAGGACCAAAGGAACTCACTGCGCAGACTCAACTGGGAGGAGATCATGGAAATGCTAATTTTAATACGAAGCGGGGATAGGTGATGCATATGTATAGGCGTATTGCGAAATATTATGAATATGTAATCATTTGCTCTATAAATCTAAGGCAGCGGTACCACATGGGAGCACACATTAGGAGGAGTGATCCCCTGTGTGCCCAGCGCTGAAGAAACATACCTACTTTATAATCTATCAGATTGTGGAGTCTGTTTTCCGCACGTCATTGGGCCGTGGCAGTCCCAGCGTGGGAGGGGATGGGTGGATGCTAGGTGTGATTGCTCTGATGAGCTCCCGGTTAGCGGGGCGAGCTCTGGCCGTGCGTGGTCACAGCTGGGTGGTCCATGTTCTCGGATGTTCCCCAGGTTGTGCCGGGAGCATCGTGCTGCTCCCAGCCACCGTGCAGGTGAAAGCATAAGCCCCCGTGCTTTCACAGCTGAATATCCCCTCTCTAGTTCAGTTTGGCTGCTCCCTGTGGCTGCGGTTTTGTCTAGATGACTTCTCTGTTTCAGGAGCAAACGGTAAATTTCCTGACTCGTTACTTTGAGACCAAAATACGGGAGATAAGAGCCTCTAGAAACTTCATTTGCTGGTATTGAAAGCCTGCTGTGTGTCACAGCGGCAGCTGTTCCTCCGCTCTCCTGTATCGAACGCAGCCAAATGCACAGTTTCTGTGCAGTCATGTCCTCTGGTTTTGGTACAGTCGGGTGATCGGGGTGGCAGTGGGGGCTCCCTGGAGCCACGTGCGGCTCTGTGCCACGCTGGGCCACATTGCAGCCGTGTCACGGGGGATAGGGACAGCGAGCATCAGCTGGTGTCACTCGTGGGAAACCACATGCGGTACCACGGGGGGGAGGGGGGGGGGGTCAGGCAGGTAGATACGCTGTTTTCTTTTTTTTTTTTTTTTTTTTTAATTACTAATTGTCATTAGTGGAGCAGCAAAGCAGTCTGCTGCCCAGCTGTTAGCAGGGAGATGTGTGGCAAGCCTCGGTTTATTGCAACGCAAAGGCTGGTTTGTAGCTGGAACGGTTAGAGACACCGACACACACCCGAGTCGTGTGTTATTAAGCAAACTTAGCGTGGATATAGAGCTGCCAGCTGGCTCCGTGAGCCCAGCTCCGGCCACGGCCCGTTGCTGGCACATACCAAGCTGTGGGTTTCCACGGACAGTATCAGAAAATAACTCCGTGTTTTCAAAACCGGCCACGTCTTGGCTTGCCAGAGGTTTCCCTTTTGTGGGAGGCAGGGCTGGCATTTAATTCGGCTTCTGCTGTTTACATGAACAAATGCGATGGTTTTCCCACTAATTCAGATTTTGTGTAAAAATAAAGTGGGTTTGTTTTCGGTGTAAGTGGGGGACCAAAGGCTAGAAGACGGGCAGATGCCCTGATATCAGATGCTTCGTACACGGCGCGTGGCATCCCGCGAGCACCCTCGTTAGCACGTAGCCTCATCAGCTTTCCTTTAACAAAATGTTCTGGCATCCTCCCTTCTCTGCTTGTCACTTCTCCAGAGGGAACGTGGCTTGTTCTTCTGGCAGCGTGAGCCCTGTTTGCTTAGGCGGAGGCACAGCTAATTATTTCTATTTATTTCCTCAGATTTCTCGGTGTTTCATTTGAGGGCTCTGCTTGAGCTTTTTCACTTGTTTCTGAGCCCGGGAGTCACTGGTGTCCCTGGAGCAAGCCTGGTGGGAGATGTGTTGGTAGGCATCAGGAGAGCCGGGGTCCGCGTGGATGCTGGACCTGCCCTCGTGATGTGTCCTCGTTTGCTCTTAGCTAATTGTCCCCGTGACTCTTCTGCAGCCACCCCACGGCTGAAACCCGGAGTGCTCATGATCGGTATTCAAGAAAGCCTCCTGTCCTCCCCAGGGAAATGCTCAGGGAAGGAACTGGGCTGCAGAATGGTTGTTTAGGGAACAAAACAAAACAAAACAAAACCAAAAAACCCCACAAAACAAAACAAAAAAACAAACAAAAAAACCCACAAAAAAACAAACAAACAAACAACCCAAAAGCCACCAATGCCCCCCCCCCCCCCCAACTGAAATACAAAACAAGAAAAAGCCCCTAAACAAAACCCAAAACCTGGTATGTCTGGATGAAGGGTTAAACTTTAGCAGGGGAGGCTTGAAAATGAGCAAAGTAATAGGAGAAGAAAAGGCATATGTTAGAAAAATGACAAATTGTAAAGGTACCCAGGACTGAATTGAAAAAATATGTAATTAATTCCTTTAAAACAATAAGTCGCATGGGTAAGCAAAGTAGTGAAGTGAAGAATCTGTTTATAGCTTTCAGTGGGAGCAGCCAAACTCTTCTTATCGATGAGCTAATTAATTTGCCGTGGCTGTTATTGGCAGTTGCCTTTTTCTTTCTGGAGAGCTTGCCGAAGGGCGAGTGTCCCTTGGGCTGGGCAGGGTGAAATCTGGGGCAACTTTAGACGCTTCATATTTGCAGTGCAGCACCACAGACCTGAAGGAGGTGAGATGCTCCCCTGGCTGGGCTGTGCACCCCTTCCCCTGCGCCGGGCGGGTGTCAGCCTTAATTTGGTTAGCATGGGGGCCCACACTCTGTTTTGTCCCCTCAGCTAGTCTTGGAATTTTTTTTTTTTTTCTGTATTTAATTTCTTTTTGCTTCTGGTGTGGTGACTTCCCAGCCTTTCTCCTGACTGCTGTTGTTGCCTTCCTGTTTGCTCTGGAGGAGGAGTTCAGGTGCCTCCAAACAACACCCTGGGAAGGGGTTAAGATGACTAGTATGCTCAGTTTGATGCATTATTGCCATATTTTGGGGGGGTTAAATCCTCCTTTCCCTTGCTAGGTTGTTTCCCCCCCATGTCAGGGATGTAGTTAGGAAGGGGGTGACGGCACCAGTATGAAGCGCTTGCTGCCTTGCTCTTGTCTTATGTCCCCTCTTTCACCTCCACCACGGGCAAGCGCTCAGGCAGGGAATTTTAGGGAGTGACAGAGCCAAAGCCCTTCCCACGGCAATAAAGTGCTAAACAGAGCTTCTCCAACGTGAGAATAAAGAGTTTCACCACGCCAAGGCTTTGGGTGTATTCTCAGACACAAGCATCTCCTGTCTGTAGGGCATCGTGTATTTTGCTTAGCCAAGGAGTGTCGCTCGGCGCCGTGTTTCTGGCAGCGTTCCCAACGCCTTTTGCTCCGGCGTGCAGCTCCCGAGTCAAAGCCCTACTGATATTTCCCCATCCAGCCTCTGAAGCTGCTGCCTGTCTCTGCCAGGCTGCCTGGCCGTCCTCCCGTGAGCGGGGAGGGGGCTGGAGGGGTTGGGGGGTGGGGGGGGATAGGGATGCTCCAGCGCTCTGCCCACCCTGGCACTGCAGCATCCGCCGGCACACGTGGCTCCTGCCTGCGTGGGCAGCGCTTGGCATCATCCAGCTTTTTGGCAAATGCGTGGCTGCCTGCTGGGCTGGGTGGGGAGAGCCGTGCTGGGGGTTACTGGTGGTGCTCCTGGTTGAGCTGTGCTATGTCAGCCCCCTTTATTCCTCCCAAACCCCTGCAAAAAAAAAAAAAAAAAAAAAACAAAACAAACAAACAACAAACCCAAAACCCCACAAAACCCTCACCACCAAACCCCAAACAGTTAGATCAGGGAAAAAAAAAAAAAAACCACCAAAAAAAAAAAAAATCAAAACAAACACAAACCAAAGCAGTGCATGGTGGGTTTAATCCAGGTCTCCCAAATCTCCCCTCATCTGTGAGACAGCGTGGGGGGGGTGGGGGGGTCATCACACCCAGCTGGGGGGAGCTGTGCTGCTCTGGGGACCCCAAGGAGGGCTGGCTGCGGGGTCAGAGTTGCAGGTTCAAGAGGCGCAGGGGTACCCGGATTGAGGAGGAGGAGGGAAGCAGTAAGGCAGGAGGTGATACCCCTTCCCCTAGCCTTGGGGGTCTGGTGTTGTGTGAGCCCTGTGCCTGGTCTGAAGGGGTCTAGCCCCGCACCCCCAGGAGAAATGTGACTATGGGTTGGTGTGGGAGGGAGGGAGGGAGGAAATCAGGGGCCAAACGGAGCAAAGCCCTGAGCCTTCCTCTCTCTTGTCTTGTGCCCCTTCAGAGTGATGAGCTACCACAGCACCAAAGATGCTGGGATTCGGCACGTGCTCCGTCAGCGTCCCAGCGCCGGGCAGGGGGGCTGAGCTGGACGCTGCCTCCCCCCGCTACGTCCTGGCCCTGCCCGAGGAGGAGACGTGGCGCAAGCACCGGCTTGGCCTGATGCAAACCACCCAGTCCTGCAACCTCCTGGAGCCCGAGAGCCTGGCCGAGGCCCTGGTCTCGCGCGCCGCCAGCTTCGATGCCCTCTACGAGCCCCGGTCCCGGGATGCCGATGCCGGCACGGAGATGGGCAGCACCTTCGACCTGGGGCTGGGTCAGTACGTCCCAGTGAGCCCGGACGTTATCAAGCGCCGGCGGGGCGGGCTGATCGAGCAGAGGGACATTATCAAGGCGCACGAGGCGCACAAGATGCAGAGCACGCCACAGGCGCGGAGGAAGGAGTGGGAGTAAGTACCGGAGAGCCCCCAGCCCAGGTGGGCAGCCGGGGGGGGAGCGGGAGTGTTCCCCATCCTCTGGAAGGGGGGGTGGGCTGTGGGGTGTCACGTCGGCGTCACCCCCGTGGAGCAGCCAACACCAGCTGTGCTCCATCTCCTGGCACTCCTGAGCTGGGCTGCTTTTCCCCATCACCTTTGTTTTCCAGGGAGGATTATTAAAGGCAACTTGAAACATAGGGAATGAGATTTTTTTTTTTTTTTTTTTTTTTTTTTTTTTTTTACTTTTTCCCCCCTACCCTGCCAAACCTCTTCTGGGTCCTTTCCTCTCAATGCGCTCTTAAAACTGATGGGATGCGTGGTCCTGCCTCCAGCAGCTGGGACCTTGCGCAGCACCCGTCCTGCCCTGGGGCTCAGCACATCCTGCAGGGCTTGGGCTGCTCTGAGCCGGCTGGACCACAGCATTTTACCGGTGGGGTGAGTTTGTGGGGTATGTGTAAGAGATGGGGAGAGATAGCGGGTGTGCTGGGTGTGAGAGGAGAGCGTTTGTGAGCCGAAAGTGATTGGAGATGCTTCTCTGAGCTGGCGTGGGGCACCCGATGAGAACGGTGCAAAGGGGCCTCTGCGGGTGGGGGTGTTCCCCGAATTGTGAAGCAGTTAGTGGAATGTAGAGGAAACTGGGAAGCCTTCAAGACGGTTTTCCTTGGCTGTAGTGGGGATTTTGGATGTATCTGGGGTCATTGCATTCTGCTTTTACTGTGGCTTGAGCCCTGCTGTGAGGGGATTTGTATTTTATTATAAGTGGGCAAGTGCCCCTGAATCAGAGCAAGCTGGAGACATTAATGAACTTGGGAAAACAGAAGAGAACTGATTGGCAGAGCTAGAACCCACTCATTTTCCTTATTATTTCCCTTTAACTTCTTCCCATAGTTTGCCTTGATGCTCTGAGAAAACCCCAGCTCCAAGTCGTGGATGATTCTCCCTCACGCGGCATTCACTGCACGGCCAAGTCTGCAGCCACACGCTTCAATCCTGCATTTAAATTACAAGGTTCCCCCCTTTGTGTCTGCTCACTAAAATTGCCTGGCATGAGCTACTGCAGAACATCTTGCTCTAATATCACTGGTCGGGAGCAGGTCCCTGCCTTGGGCACTTTATTTGGGCACTTTTAATCAATGTATTATAAAACACCTGAAGGAGGGGGGAGCCGCTGTATTAATTAGATGTAGCATGTTGCTTTGGTGAGATCCAGGTCACCGCTGTTCTTGTTTGAAGCTGGTAGGATTTTTTTTAGGATGGTTTGCATGATGAAACCGCTTGTGACAACGCTGAGGCTGCTCTTGCCCTTTTTTAATTTAATTTTTTTTTTTTTTAATTTTTTTTTTTTTTTTTGGAGGGCGGCCCATCAGCGAGGCGGGCTCTCCCTGGCCCTTTCGGCTCAGTGCTCATCCCTTTGTGCTCAGGGATCCTCCTGGCCGGTGACTCAGGAAGCCCTGCATAGGGGAAATAAATTGACATATGGGCTCAGCAAATGCTCAGTGCCTTGTTATCTTTTGCGACCCACCGGGGATGCCAGATGAATAAATCATGGCTGGGCAGGAAGCAGAGGGATGGCCTCGTTAATTGTCGGCTGGCGGAGCGAGTTCCTAGACCGGCTGCTCGCTAATTAACTGCCTGGATGACTACAGCTCTATTTTGTGGCAGGGAGATGAAGCCGGAGCTCTTCCCGTTTGTACCGTGCGGGATGTGCCCCTTTTCGCCGCCCTCGGCTGCTCGGCCTAGCAGTAACTCAAACACAAAGCCCAATATTTCTGTCTTTAATGCAACGGGGATATGCAGATGGCCGTGCCGGCTGCTGCCATCCCAGCCTCTTTAATCGGGTGTTTCCCCAGGCTGGAAGGCTCCAATCTTTGCATTTCCCAGCTCTTGGGTGCTCGGGTTTGGTATTTCAGCCTACTTTACAGTGGTTTTGTGGGTGTGGTTGGGAAGCCGTGGCTAAGACAGGCAGCCCTGAGATTTGGGATGGACCGCTCTCCCTTTACCAGCCCGGCCTCGTTGCTGTCGGCGTCTGGCCGTGGGGCCCTCTCCTCGCAGATGCCAAAGCTCCCAGCCCGGCCGCAGGAGGTGAAGATGCTGGTGCTTTGCAGAAGCCCCCGGTGCTGGGGGGACGCCGGGCGCTGGCACTCTTGGGGCTTTGCAGCCCCCCGAGGATCAGAGAGCCCCACTGCCTGTCTCTGCCCGGCCCCTTCCCGGGGAGCCGGTGATCTTGGTGCAGTGGGCTGAGCCCCAAGAGGGCTGGATCTGTGCCTCTCCCAAAGTTAAGTGCCCTGATACTCCATCAGCCTGCAAAAACCACATGCCAGAGGCTCCTGCTTTAACATCAGACCCATAAACCAGTGAGGTTTTCCCCCAAAACTTTGCCAAAGTCCAGGCTGGTGTGCAGAGCTGGTAACCCTGGTACTGTGGATGCTCTCTGGGACTAGATGGATGGCATGTGGGGGAGAAAAGGCAAATTAATTTCCTTATCTGTAAGTTTATTAGTAATAATGCAATTTCCCTGTGATTTAATTTTCGGAAGGGCCCATCTCGCATACTTTGAATGCCCCAGGGGATTTCTCCTCGGCGGTCTGGCTCTATCTCTCCCGGTGAGCAGTGTGGGTGGTGTTTTCCCACAGCTCTAGCGTGGCAGTGGGCATTAGATGGATCACGGGGAACCAGGAAAATGGCTTTTCTGCTCACCTTTGAGCTGTGGCAGACCCAGGGGATGATTGGCTTGTCTGTGGGGTCAGAGCAGGCCTACAAAAACTGCCTTTTTTTTTTTTTTTTTTTTTTTTTTTTTTTTGTCTTCCCCCCCCCCCCCCCCCCCTTGTTGCCAAAACTTGATGACTTAAGCCAGGGTGGTTCAGAGAGGTCTGTGCCCCCTTTGCAAGGCTTCTGGGCAATTTTTGGTTAAAAGTTGTGCTCTGAGCACTGTCTGCCTTGAGTGAGTTAATGCTGACGTGTGTTTCTGACATAAGCATCTGCCACCTTGGTCAGGGCTCTGGGAGGCTGCTGGAGGTCCCCTCTGGCTCCAGTTTGCCAGTCGTGGCAGGGTGGCGTGGGCACAGGGACCGAGTGCCGTGTGTGCCTCTCCTCTACTGAACAAGAGACCTCTGCTCCCCTGGAGTAGCTTTGTCTTTGCAGACACGACATTCCTGGTGTGCAGCAGCTCCTGTGCCAGGTTGCAGTGAGGGAAGAGAAGCGAAGGCTTTTTCTCCCACCCTTTCCAAGCCTCCAGCTCTGCCTTTTGCCAGTGAAAAAGGCTCACAAGTGAATGTGCTTTCCCCTTACTAAGGTAGAATAAGAATGGGAGGGGGAAAAATGTTTTCACCTTTTTTTTTTTTTTTTTTTTTTTCATGGGGAAAGTGAGGCAGAGAGTAGAAAAGTCTAAATATGTGTGGGGCAGTGGCTCTGTGGGAGGCTTAACTTCATGGTGAAGGGTATGTGTACCAGCCCACCTTGTTCTTGGCTAAGGGACTTAAGCCCAAAGCAGACACTAAAACCCATTTTTTCAGAGTCCCTGCCCTCTATTCTGCTGTTCATGCGTTGGGGTTGGGTCAAGGTATGTGGAGATATCTGCTGCATTTCAAGGCTTGGTGTGCTGTTGCTGCATGGAGTGGTCACGGCTGAATCACAGGTGTCTTTGCCACGTATGCGTGGCAGCATCATTTGGACTGTCTGGCTGAGAGGGAGCTCAAAAGAAAAGCTCCGTGTCAAAATAAGCAAACGGGGAACCTCCTGTGACTTCTCCAGGCTGAGCAGCCTCTTTCCTAGCTGATGGTAAGGACAGGCAGAGCCACCCGGAGAACATCCCAGAAAAGACTCAGGCTGATTTTGCAGCAGACAGGACCCAAACCTGCCTCGCAGGGCTTAAAACCACCTGTGCCTGGATATTTGTTGAGATTAGCTTGTGCAATTTGGGGAACGCAACCGGTGCCTTCATTTTGGAATGATGACTACAGCAAGGATACATGGAAAAGCCTGATTCCCAGATGCTGGGCAGGCAGTGCGGGAGCAGAGGAGACCAGAGGGAAAGCAGCTGGGTCTTGGTACAATTTGGAGGTGATGGGGGGGGAGGTGGGATGCTGTAATTCAGCGCTGGAGTACTTGAGTAACAGGTGGCAGGTTTCAGTGTCCTGTGGGAAGAGATGCACTCTGCTCACAGTACAGAACAGTGCTCCTGAAGGGGAGGGTCATTAAAGGCGATCTGCCTTGTAGCATCTTAGAGTTGATGGCTTTGCTTGGAGCCTGCTACGTCTCCCTTGCCACGGTATGAGCTGCAGTGAGACCCTCGGACCCCACCTGGGAGCCTGTGATCCCTGGAGCAGCAGGGCAGGAGAGCCTTCTGCTGCTTGCTCAGCTCCATACCTGCAACGCAGACTGTGGAGAGCTGCTGGGCTGGAGCGTAATGTTACTGCAGATCTGCCTCCATGCAGTTTTATTGGAAGAAGTAAGAGAACAGAAGAAACTGTGAAAACACACAGGGTGTTGCTAACAGATCTCAGGGGCTCTTTACGACTTGGCAGTCTCTCTCTAGTTATGCGCACACTCTGCATCCCAGATTACAAGTTAAGATTACTTTTATATATATATATATATATATATATATATATTTTTTTTTTTTTTTCCCCCTTGGTGCTGAATGAGACAAAGGGCTCCCTTGGTGTGTGCTGGGCTGCCAGCTCCATCGCTGCTTCCCAGCATGTTCCCCAGTGCGTTGCACCCTCTGGGTTTAACCAGCTGCAGAGATGGAGAGGGCAGGAGCGCGCGCGGGGCAGCACTGCTGCTCGCTCCTTGCACTGGTGAGGCTGCCTGGAAAGTGCCCCTGGGCTGGGGCTGCTTTGGCCACAGCCTGGACTTGGCTGGATCCGCACCCATCACCCTGCCCCCCCCCTCTGTAGAGAAGGGACAAGCCCCAGGGTGGCTCTGAGTTGCCGTCACAGATGCTGGTAGCTCCGCGGCACAGTTTTAGGAGA